TTCTCCGCGTATATGTCGACTCCCGCCTCAACTTCATCCGTGATCTCTACAGGCCGAGGTTTTCCCTGAGGCGCTGTGTTCTCTTCATCCTTGTCAGTCCTGACCTGTAGCTCACCACCGGGTCTCGGCGGAAGCTCAGAAATGTCAGAAATGTCTACCATATCCAGCACCTCAATTTCAGCCAGGGATCCATCCATATCTCTGGCTGCGACAGACCACAAATCTCTTGGAGTTTGGAAGCGTGATACTGCGGTATGAGAATATAACCCAGACACTGCCCTTGTGGTCGAGTTTTCGATCATATTTTTTTCTGATGCGCGTATTGCCTTTTGCATATCTCTGAGCATCGTTGGCGAGTCTTCCCGCTCCAACTGACTGCACGTTCCAAACATCAAATCCTGATCCTTCAAGTAATTGACGGCATCCTCAGGAGGGAGAACACATGAGTCGATGTCCAGTGATCTAGAGAACAATTTGCCTTCAGAGAGGACGCTGTTGGTGACATCTTCTGAGGCTCTCATCATAGTGTCTGCCGCATCCAAGTGATCTGTACTATCATTGGTGTACAGGGCTGTCACACGGCCAGTAAGAGTTGTGATCTTTCTGCCTCTTTTCCTCGGCTTCCTCTCGCCTGCTGAGGCTTTCGAGGATCGAGTGCTGCAGACATTTGAACGGTTGCTCTCAACCTCCGGCGACGTCCGCGTAGTATTTGATGGGTTTCGAGTGTCTACAAGCTGCAAAAAGGTCAGAATGCGCTGCAGGATGATGACAACCCTAGAAAACATACCTCTAGTCGCCTGCGCTTCGTTGGAGCGCCACCGTCAGAGTGTTTCAAGTCACCTTGAGAATCGGTGGCGGCCTTCAAAAAGCCATATTCCGATAGAAGGCTGCCGAAGCGAGTCTTATCGTCGTCAATATCATCCAATCCGACGGCTCGCTTGCCAGTATCCTTGGTAGGCGTCCAATCTAGCCTTCTCTTCATAGCTACTTCAAGTTGTAAGCCATCCTTCTCCAACTCCAGTTTGTTCGCGGAACTTTTTCCTGGTAAGACGTCCGATGTCACAGGTTCCTTGGTTTTATCTTCAGATTGGGCAGTCTCGGTAATGCCGGATTTCGCTACTTTCCCAGTTATCGTCTTGTTTTTGGACGTAGTGCGCTTATTCGCAGCGTCTGTGCGCTTTTTCTTTGATCCTGTCCCTTTCTTGGATGTGCATTCATCGTGTTTCGGAATAGGAGGCTCAGAATGGCCAAAGAGCGTTTGTGCCTCGTTCGTAGATTGTTCTTTCGCCCGTATCTGTCTTCCTCCTCGGGCCGCCGTCTTTCTCCTCGATGCAGCCAAATCTTTACTTGTTTCAGACTCTTCTTTCGCAGTCCTCGATGAGCCGTCGTTTCCAGCTTGAGTTTTGAAAAACCGCGAGCGCATGGGCGGTTGAAACGGCTCTGACGGAGAACGCAAAGGTGAAGGGGACGAAGAGACCGGTGATAAGCCAAATACCTTCTCCGGATCACATTTTGGCTCTGCTGGAGAGTGAGAGGGAATCTGATCTGGCGAAGAAGAGAGAACGATTATGTCTGTAGCTGTATACATGGTGGCAAATGGGATCTGCGGCGAAGGACCGTACCCTGTCGGCAAGTCATTAGTCTGATATAGAGTTAGAGTCCAGAAAGATAGGTAATGTATTGTGCAGCTGCAAAGAGCAGCTCAGACAATCATTGGTTAGTCCATTATTGAAACTGATGTCGCGAGCCTGGGATGAATGAGAAGTGATGAAGCTGCAGGTTTGTCAAATGTCTTGGCGGTGCTGTGAAATTGCCACTTTAGGCAGTATTGATTGGTGGGCCGGGCAACGAGTCCCCTTTAGGAAGAAATCGACCATCGCAGCTACGGAACTACAGGGCACCATAAACCTCACAGAAAACTTCTGTATATCAAGATGGGTGAGATATAGTAAGTAATTTGTTTCAGTTTCGCGAACAAGATGTATTGTTGTCCATCGCAACATTAGAGAGCATTGGCGGACTCCTCAGTTTCCCATATCAGTTACGCGCTAATTGGCGCCAGCACCCAGACACTCTGCCTTGGGTAGTGTGCAATATGAATTCATCACAAGGTCATATCCGGTGACAGGTAACAACGGACGCCGTACTGAGACTGTCACCCAACTGCTTTAGGAGGGCAGTAAAAAGGGATTGATCCTGAAAGAACTTCGGGCACGGTCATAGTGCGTTCACGCAGATCAATCCAATCGGCATGTAACTTGCTCTTGTAAGATTGAGCATCGCATGAAGATCCCCAAAGTGAGGAGGTCATAGTCGTTGAGACAGTAATGGCTTTGGATCACGTTGCTCCACGCAGAGCAATTGCACCTATGAGCGAAAGTTCCAGTCGTCGCTTCTCATCGTCCTGAGCGCCTAAAGCGCCCAATTTGTAGGCTTTCTTAATCTTCGAAACGTCCGAGATTTCGGACAATGTCTCATCAGCGAATGGTACAGGAGAACCCTCAATTGATTGCTGCAGATGCGCCGCTACCGAGTCATGAGTAACATCTGGCGTCACGGAAACTTTCACCACCAAGAGGTCTGTCGTCAGGTCTGTAATGCCGAATTTGCGGAAAGAGTCTGCAATCTGGTGTATTGTCAGTGATGCTCGTGAAAAACATATCGCTCGTCTGCGCAATCTGGAAACGCACATTGTTGGTGGGGCTCAAGGAGAAGACAATTTCCGAATGGACATTACGCGACTTGAGACGCCCATTGAGATAATCATTAACCGCTCTGAAGATGGCAGAAAGGATATGGGTCCTTGAAATGACCTTATTTCATTTCAGTATGCTTGCTCAAGTGCGCTTTTCTTATGTGGTCCATACCATGCTTGCGTCAATAAACGCATACTCGAAATCACCATTGCCTGACAACAGCTGCTGCCGGAGAAATGGCGAGTTTTTCACATCACGATATAGAGCTATATGAATGGGCAGAGCTGAAGGCAGATGAGGAAGATGTATGGTCTCAAGGGACACAGTCATGGCGCGCACTCCCGTCTGAAATGTTAATCGCAGACACGAAAATGTTGAGCAACCAACTCAAAAGAATTTCTTTTCCTATTCTGCACTCTCTCAGCTACAGCCTCAGATTGACCATTTAAAACGATCGCAGCAGATAATCAGTAACTCCGATTCCTCCGCGACACAATTTCTCCTTGCTCTGTGCCCCTCCCCCACCATGTCAGCGTTAGTAAGCTATCATCACGTGACTGCACTTCTCGAACGTTCGGGTTCCCGTAGTGGATGCCGCCGGAGGTTGCTGATATCACCGGCGCTTTGCTTAAAACACCATCGTCATCTCTCCTACTTTGAGCCATCACCGTCATTGCTCACCATCATTGCTCATTATCATAGCTCACATCATCATAGATTCGGTACATTCATTCCAGTTATGGCGTTCTTTCTAAGGCGCCCCTTCGCCGTTCCAACGGCTCTTCGTCAAGCCCCTAAGGCTGCGAACACCGCTCGCTTCATCCACAACTCACCCATCAAGCCCGTTCAGTCGAAGCCTCTAGGTCCCTGCTCGTCCTCGATCTTCGCACAGTCCAGGCAGACTTTCCGGAATGCCTTCCGGCGCACGTACATGCAGCCCTCTTACGGTACAGCTCAGCGTGGCTACCTCACGCAGCGCCTGCTCTACGGTGCGGCCATTGTGGGTGGCACTATCATGGCTACGAACTTCATCTTCAATCGTGAAACAAGAGAGGATGGCGGAATGGCCCCCTACGAGCGAAGCTATCTGAATGAAACTTTCATGCACACCGGACTTGGTATTGGTATTATTGGTATCGCCGCTAGAGCTTTGCATATGAATGGATGGTCTTATCGTTTGATGGCCACCAACCCTTGGCTGGTTGCTGGTGTTGGTCTGGTTGCCAGCATGGGCACGATGTTCGGTACCTACTACACTTCTCCTGATAAGTAAGTTTTTCGAGTGTCTTTTGTTCTTTGTTGGGTGGTATACTAACGGATACTTAGCTACGTAATGAAGTATGGTCTCTGGGCTGCCTTCAACGTCACTCAGGTTGCGCTCCTGTCCCCTCTGATGTTCATGCACCCTGCCCTGCTCGCTCGTGCCGGTCTTTACACTGTTGGCATGATGGGTTCGATTGCGTTCGTCGGTGCCACCGCGAAGCAGGAGAAGTACCTCTACCTGGGTGCTCCTCTCCTCGCTGGTGTGACCATCGTTGCCCTTTCCGGCTTGGCTCCCCTTGTTATCCCCGCCACTGCCGCGCGTGCTCTGATGTGGTCCGAGAGGATTTGGTTGTACGGTGGTCTCGCTGTCTTCGGTGGCTTCACCCTTTATGACGTCCAGAAGATCCTGCACCACGCTCGCTTGGCCGAAAGAGGACTTGTCCGCAGGGATGTCGTCAACGAGAGCATCAGCCTCGAGTTGGACTTCATCAACATCTTCGTCCGCATGGTGCAGATCTTGGCCATGCAGCGCAACAGCCGGAAGTAAGCGTGATCTTGCTTTGAAGTGAAACACCGCACCTGGCCCGCATGGATCCAGCCAGAACAATAGTGTGAAGGAATCTGGTGTCTTCTGTCTCAGCATTCAAAAGATTTCGGTTGTATGATAATTTGGTTTACTGTTGTTTAAGAACTTGTTTTAAGGGTATATGGTCCTCGGGGAGTTTCTGCTTTTTGCACCGCTAACAGCTAGGCATGGCATCTGGTCGGCATACTATACCCTTGCTCTAGATCGGGTGTAGAAGGGTTTCACCACCGGAGTTTACACATTTTGGCATAGCTAGAAATAGTGGAAAGACAATCTCCACTCGTATTAAGTGACATTAAGAAAATGAGGAAAGCAATCTGCGAGCGACTCATTCAGTGCTAGATGAAGAATTGTGGTATGCTTCCCGATCACCATTGAGCGTAAGAGGTTGCCTTGGGTACATCACATCTAGATTGATTTGAAACATCATATAACAAGTGCCTTCAGAGTCAACACTAAAAGGTCAAAACCATAATATCAAACATGAAATCATACAACCGATTAACAGTAGGCTCAAGGTAGGCCGGTTCAGGAGCCTGCCACCCGAGGATTGCATCGTGTTCTTTTTCAGAGTAAGATATGTCGTTCCATTCGACCTCCCAAATCCGCATAGACCACTTCCTTCCATCATGTCGGCGGGAAAAAGGACCCGAGGCTCGCCCTTATCCATGCTGACCTTGAGAAGACCCATGTCATTAACCGAGTAGTTGGCGCAATTGAGCACATCCATGACCACAAATCCAGGTTGGTAGCCTATTGGCATGTCCAGCTCATATTTGCCGCTGTTCGTGCCTTGAGTTGACAAGACCATCACGAGTTGCCGGCCCTCGACGCCTTTGCGGAAGCCCATCTCGCTAGACCCTGTGTAGATGGGGAAGGTCTGCGAGTCTACATACGCTGGATCGATCTGGGCTGCATGCTTGCGGATTCTGTTCAGTTTCGCGGCTAGTTGGTAAAGCGGAGCGTTGGTGTCGTAACCAGACAGCCATAAGGCTTCGCGGTTCTCCGGGTCGTTGGCGCCTGAGAAATGTTGTTCTTGCCCTTGGTAAATCATCGGTATGCCGTCGAAAAGCATCGTGAATGTTAGAACGTTCTTCGCGAGCTGCGCCAGTGTTAGCCTATCATCGGTTGATACTTGACAGGGTAACTTGAGTCGATGCCTTACCGCGATGTCATCCTTGAAGCTTGCAAATCGAGCGACGTCGTGGTTTTCCGAGAACGAAGTTAGAGCCGTAACATCAGAACATGTCTGTTTCATGACCTCTACCTGATTGGTCAGAGAGCTTGTGTTGCCTTTCGTAAATGCCTCCAAGATGGAAAAATAGATGGGATAATTCGGGACGCTGGGGAGGTCATTTTGATATCCGCAGATCGTCTTCACGGATGGCTCGAAAACTTCGCCAGTGATGAAAGCGCCAGAAGCATTATGGAACAAGGGCAGGAAGCTTGGTGTAACATGCTTCGCTGCATCCAGACGTAGACCATCGATTGAATACGTAGACATCATTTTTCTAATCCAGTCCATGAGCATGCTCTGAACTTGGCTGTCCTCTGTCTTTAGATCTGGAAGGGGAACAACATCATCACCTGTCCAGCAAGTCTGCGCCAATGGATAGTTGTTATAGTCTGTGATCTTGCAATATGGATGAAAGAACATTGCGTCATTGAATGGGCTGAGCGTTGAATAGTCAATGCTCGTTGCCGGGCTTCGTCCGTTGGTGATGTACGCCAAGTTGTTGATGACAGTATCTACCATCAAATACATGCCCCGGTCATGAACAGCCTTGCTCAAGTCTAGCAGGTCCTGGTGTGTCCCAAAGTGTGGGTTTAGCGCATACATATCCTGGACCCAGTAGCCATGATAGGCTTCTCCGTACTGCACGCGTCCCTCGACGTTCTGGACGATCGGGGAGATCATGATGGCGTCAAATCCCATTCCTTGAATGTAATCGAGGTGTTGAATTGTGCCTCTCCATGAACCACCGCAGCGTAGCCCTTCTGTGGTGTTGCATGGATGAGTGGTGGACCCATCCGTACGTGCAAATCTGTCTGTCATGGTCTGATAGATAGACCTGGACTTCCATGCACTTGTATCTGCGGCCAAGGATGACGCGAGCAGATCAAGCCCTGCAGTGATGCAAAGCCACTGCAGGATTCGTAAGGAGTACGGCATTGCAGTAGAGATGGTCGGTTCAAGCAAGAGAACGCCGGGATGGAATTACAATAGGATGAATAACAACGACAAAATGAAAGAATGTAGTAAGCAGAATCGCGACTACGCGACCGAGTCTCTCCCCATGCAGCTGCTGAGGAAGTTTTTGTATGGTTCAGTAACCTGCTGAACCCATGAGATAGTAGGGCTGAATCAGTATCGGAACGATTGTAGCAGCCTCTTATAGGAAGCAATGACTCAAGATAGAAAGGAATGTATGGCCGAATCTGTCATTGACCACGGCAGCAACCAGAGACAAGGACTAACAAAAGACGGTCCTAAATCGACACCATGGAAATGAAGCATCTACCAATGGGAGACGCAGTGCCCAAAGAGCGAATGTGTAGTGTTCTCTGAACAAGTGACTGAGAAGCAATGAGTGGATAAAAGAGAGACTCGATCAAAGCCTCATGTGAATCGTAAAGAGAGCGACTGAGTCTGGAAGGGAAACATAGGACTGTAAGGTAAAAGTCAACTTGGGGAAGTAAAGAGTGGCAAGGCGAAGAAAAAGGGAGGAAATGAATCGAGGCAAGATGAGTATCTGTGCCCTTATTTTTCCTGCATAGAGAGTTAAATTGCATCGCTCTTGAGTTCCAAGGTATAAGGAGACCTTCCATTTGCTGTTTAGCATCTGTCGATGATTTGTACAGTTTTGAGTCAAATGATTCTTCCCCCTGCATCCCTCCCTTTTGAGTCTCCTATCAACTACATAAATCAACACGCTCGAGGAGACAAGGGATATTCAGTCGGACTAGCTCATGGACTTTATATCAGCCAACAAAGCATAATCCCATTGTGTCAGCAACGATTAGCTTGAAAGCGGACCGCCGCCGGACTGAGGATATCAGTGCTCTTTTTATTTTCCTTTTGCAGGCCAGACTTTGTCACCGGATACTCGACAGGAGAGCATTTAGGCGTTTTGCACGAGGCTCAGAGCATAGCTTCACAACATGGAAGCCCTCTAGAAGGAGTAACAGCTTGAACTGGGGGCTACAACAGGTATTTTGCAACCCTGTAGACGAAGGTATTGAATAGATGACTACCTCTACAGAAACATCAATTGTCAGGTCGTCATACTAAATTGCAAGTTGTCTTACAGTCAGTTCAAAACATGCAAGGGCGGCATCAACAAAGGGAGGAAAGGGGGTGAGCAACTCTCTTAATCATCTTTTCATAAAATCGTATACTACAGCGTCAAGTAAAGACGCGAATAAGTGCATTATGAGCGTTCGGCTTAAGTAGCAGCTAAATAGAGCTGAGATGCAAATGTGTGATCCCGGTGGTAATTGTCATGGGAAAGCGTGACCGTTGCGGATCATTATGACTAGGTCTCCTTCTGCCACAGCACAACTTATCTCCACTTCCATCCCACCATTCATCGATCCAAACCTAAATCCAGATTTGGACCTTTTCTCGAATTGCAGATCGAAGAAAAAAATCTATGCTTTGAGTTACTCTGATGAGGACGGGTAATTTCACAAGGGGACGCTGTTCAATTGCTCCACATATGGATTTCCCTGACTAGGGTTACACCAGGTAACATTATGCATTGTCATCCGCGGAGGGAGAATCATCGACATCATTCATTTCAATTAACCACAGCAACATCCACGATCGGGCTCAATCCGTCTAGTCTCAGTCAAGACTCTCATGTGTCGCAATCAATGTTTCAAAAGTTGAGCTCCATCAAGGTCGGCAGATGACGACTGCTTACTTTCCTCCCACAAGAATATTGATCAAAACGGCATTGATAGCCTAACCCAAAACTCTCCCTTGAATTGTCCGACAATGCCCAGGTAGATATTGGGACATCTGCGCGGCATTTGCGCTGTCAGCCGCTCCGCTCAGGAGACGACTGTGTCCACCGGCTTTGCATCAGCTATCTCGATTTCCTTTAGTTCGGACTTCTCAGGCCACAATTCGCTTTCAATGACTTTCCAGTTCAAGCCAGCTATTCCTGGAGCCCCTGCCATGTTTACCAGGAGACACCACTGTTCTTTCGAAATCCTGTGGAAGGTTGCGAGAATGAGGGCCACCGTTTTCCACTCATGAATCCGTTTACCTGGCAGGAGGATTTCGATATTCTGCTCAGACCAGTCGCAGCAGTACACATCAGTGTACAGCTTGCTGTCCTCCATCGGCATGAATCCGAAATGTTTCACTCTCATCCGCATCTTATGTCCTTTGACGGCGCAGAGTGACTCTCTCACTCGTAGAGATAGCAAGAGCGAATTGTCGGCAAGGCCATGCATGTTGACGAAGTGGACGCTCTGCGCATCGATTTTCAGGTAAGTGACACGGAAGGTTTTGCGAGTCTTAGGATCCTTAGTTATCTCTCGTATTATCATGGTGTGCAAGATCAAGTCGAAGAACACATCGAGCTCGGAATCGGCCTGATGTAGCTCGCGAGTTTGGTTGGATTCAGAACCTCGCAGGAACATTTTGATGCTCGGTGGTTTTTCTGGAGGCTTCTTAGGCTTTGGCTGGCAAGCACAGTTTGGATCATTGCTGACGTCCAAAAGGGTAATCTGTCAGCGCTTCCACTAGGGACTTTGCCTACTTTGGACTGCGACTCACCATTGCATTTTGAATCAAGCTTTGACAAATTGATGAGAAGTATAGTTACTTCTCTTTCAAGAGATATTCTGTGAGTTAAAGTGAACACTGAGGAAAGGAAAGAACTGAGAGATGGGAGCCAGTGACGCGCTATGCTGCGCATCTGCTAAATAAACAGTGGCAGGGCTCTATTCACTGTCCTCACACATCAGTACTCCAGTGAATTTACACGCAGGAGCTTACGGAACATCCCGTTAATACTCACCTCAGACATCCATTGCATCTGGTCATAGACTGCTGATCGTCGTCAGAAGCTTAGATATTGTCTAAGTCTACATGAACTGTGAAAGAGCGATTCACTCGAGAAGACCAAATTGATCATCACAGCTTCGGAGAGTCTATATAAACACTAAAGAAAGTGCAAGTGCGTAGGGATGTAGCTATTAAGCATGGAATCGATTACTTATAGAAGTGTTCTCTCTCTCTCGCAGCATTGGTCTTCCGAAGGCTCATGTACTCATTGTGCGGGATGGTAGGTAGATACTCGATTCCAGTCTTTTGCCTCAACACATACTTCAAATGATCCATCAATTGAAAAGGTACTACGGCCATCGCCTTCAACTGCAGCCATAGCTCACCTAGAAGAAATGTCATGGTCACTGAAACCACAACCAACTTCTTTAGAGAGCGTCTCTGCCGTGCTTCGCCTGCAGATCAGATTGATGTAGCTTCTAGAGCCATTTCACAGCCTCGGATGCTTCTATTCATCCTGTATCCTCATTATTTATACTACAATTTATACCTGAAATTCGCTGAGAGCAAGGACTCAATGTACATGGGTCTTCACAAAATGCGTCTCTGACAAAGCTCCATAACTCCAAAGTTCATGCCATAGTTGTTTAAGATGGTTCAACGCTGAAGTAAACGGGGCAGAGTTACTGCGCATGTATCGACTCTCCCTGACTTTTTGACTGTATCATTGTATGTTCTCTCAGACTGAAGGATATCGCGCGATTACATAATCATCTCACCATGGCGCCAAGCTTCCGCAATGTCAATTATCATGGATGCTGCATCGCCAGAAGCGTTCTCTTGTTGCCATTCACATTCCTCGCCTTTCGGTCTTCATTTACCATCTTGAGACAACCGATTCTATATACAGTCACTATGTCAGCAGAAATGGAAGTCGATGTTCCGCAAGAGGAGATCCCTCAGGGACAATCTGGCGGCGGAGGTTCAGATCCTCGAACACAGGCGGGAGCCGTTGCAGTGCGCAGTATCGAAGGATGGATTATCATCGCAACCAACATTCACGAAGAGGCCTCTGAGGAAGATGTCACTGATCTTTTTGCTGAATATGGAGAAATCAAAAATTTCAGCCTGAATCTGGATCGCCGGACGGGTTATGTCAAGGTGAGCTAAGTCTTTCCTGCTCCGCACTTGGATCTCGCCCTTTCCTACGTCGTTTGTTTCCGTCTCCATGGAAGTTGCTGACATTGCAATTTCTCTACTAGGGTTACGCACTGATTGAATATTCTACACTCCCCGAGGCATCTGAAGCCATCAAAGCCCTCAACGGAGCCAAACTGCTCGACCAGACAATCCACGTCGACTATGCGTTTGTACGGCCTCCTCCTTCCAACAAGGGCAAAGGCGGACCACCAAAGGGCGGCCGCGGTGGACGAGGTCGCAGCAGGAGCCGCGACAGAAGCCGCAGCCCGGAAGCCGATAACGCAAGAGATTAAGCATGAACATTGCGATAAAAGAGCCTTCGGTCGAGGCGCATCCTCTCTCTTCTCCCTCACCTCTGATTTGCGATGGTCTGTGTTCTGATTGATCAAACGGTTTGGGGAATGACCAGATGATCTTGGACACAGCACTTGTAGCTGCTGGTTGGGTTTGTCCCTATGAGTCCCGGGGGCACATGAAGGTTCATTGTGCTTATATCGCCGGCATCATCTCTCCCGAGCCAACGCGCTATTTTGGACTGTGGTCTATCCTTAGCCGGGGAGATAGTTTTGTCGGCACTGTGACCTATTTTTAGAATGGTAAGTATTTGCCCCTCCGGATTATTTCCAGTGCTGCTTGCTAATACTCAGACAAGAAGATGCGACAGGAATGGCTTTCAATCAACGAGATATTCCATAATCTTCTGCTAGGAATTTCCTCGAGCTTTTCATATAATTGAGCGTCTCATGTAATGGGTATCAGATGAGAATTACGGGTATCAATCCTCGCCTGGGTCAGGGACTATCTAGTTGGTCACCTTCCACACGAATTTCGTACTTAAGTAGAGGTCGCCGGAATAAACAACGTAGCAAATATTATGAAGTTGTAGTCAGTGTGCTCAAGTATTGTCACAAGCCCAATTGCCGTGCTGGGCCAGAGCGATATCCTCCATGAGGCTATCTACATATTGACCGCGTGATTGTCTTTTGAGATCAACGAGCCACCAAGCGGGGAATTCCCCAGTGTTGCAGCCATGGCACAAGCAATCTGAACTGTTTGACAACTAGCAAGAGAGAGTTAACATGTCGTAGACTCAGTTTCGAGTCATCTTGGACCCTGAGACGCGAAATGTAGAGACACCAAGCGTGGGTCAGCTGGACCGGATTCGTTCAGCTGGAGGGAATGAGGAGTTAAAACCTGGAAGCCACACGACGGAGATTTCCCCGCAATCCAATCAGTCACCTTATCGTCAAAGAACCTCCCTCCCATGCTGCGAGCCCACAGCCATCGACATCTCATTCCAGCGATACTACTGCACGGCATGGCATGACATATTCCTTATTGTCCTCGATTGGTCGCAGGTCGCCTTTTGTGGTCTTCATCGTCTACTTTGTCTATAGACTCCGCATATACCCTCTTTGATTTACTGGGTTCCCGCCGTTGACTGCGAGTCTGCTGCTTATCGATCACTCAAGTATTCTGTCGATAACCGAGGCGCAACTTAGGCAAAATGGTATCACCTTTACCTATATCGTTATTTCTATATCTTTGTGCTCTATTTATGCAATCTGGGGCCATTGCGCTGGCGCAAGTGCCTCAGGACGTCCTTTCCCCGCAGCGACCATTTCCTCAGCAGCCAAAGGTGCCCGGGACATCATCTGAAGAATGGCCTTTGACACCCCCAGGTTTGATCGGAGAGACGGAAGACTCCATTCGCAGCACGCTGGGGGATCTTGTGGATGCCTTGAAAGTAATGCAAGACGAGTATTTTGAGTTGTGGCAGGGAAAGTGGCCGACTGCGATTGACTGGACGGCTGCTGTCCTGGGAACTCATGTCTCCGCTACCCTCTCGTCGCTCACTTCCACCGTGGGCGATGTTCTGCTCTCAACTCTTTCTGCAGACATCGAAGATGCCGAGCGAGAATCCCAGTCCGCCATTCAACGCTCACTGGCGTTCGAGAACTTTATCAACCACTTCTTCGACCAAACCTCTGCATTCTACTATGGTGAAGATGCGATTTCTCTGAGAGGGCAAGCTTATGACGACATGCTTTGGGTTGTACTGGAATGGCTGGAGAACATCAAGTTTCAGGTTCTACATTCCGAGTTGCACTACGATCGGTCGAACGCGACCACAAAGCGTCGCTGGCATGGAGTTCAGTATCAGATTCCAGCAGCTCATCGAGCGCGACTCTTCCACGAGCTTGCGTCCAGTGGATGGGACCGCTCGCTCTGTGGGGGCGGAATGATCTGGAGTCCGTATCTCTGTCCTTACAAGAATGCAATCACGAACGAGCTCTACATATCTGCCAGCATTGGCATGTATCTTTACCATCCCGGAGACGTAATCAGTTCGCCCTTCGCTTCGGCCTCAGCAACTAGCGAAGTTGCGTCTGATGGATATCCCCACAATCCTGCTCATCTGCAAGCTGCCATCGAGGGTTATGAGTGGCTCAAGTCTTCGAAAATGATAGGTGTCGGGGGCTTGTATGCTGACGGGTTTCACATTAGTGGCTGGCAAAGCGAAACACAACCTGGTACGCGCAGATGTGATGTTCTCAACCCCATGGTATACACCTACAACCAGGGAGTCATTCTCAGCGGACTCAGGGGCCTCTGGCTTGCAACTGCATCACAGGATTACCTGCAAGACGGGCACGAACTCGTTCGGAAGGTCATCCGTGCTACTGGATGGCCCAACAAGGACGACAGAGAGTGGGCTGGCCTTGGTCGCGGTGGGGTGCTTGAAGACGCCTGCGACTCTTCTGGCAGCTGCTCACAGGACGGGCAAACTTTCAAGGGTATATTCTTCCATCATCTCACAGAATTCTGCCGGCCTATATATCCGCAAGAGGAGCGATTCTTGGCCGCTGCGAATCGGACGTCGGAAGCAGAGGACAATGATTGGGAGCATGTTTATGCGTGGCATTTTGCCAGATGCCGGGCCTACCGACCCTGGATCGAGCACAACGCAAATGCTGCCCTTCTTACGAGGAATGACGACGGCAAATTTGGCATGTGGTGGGGCAGAAGATATCGTGTCCTGGATGATGCTATTCTCGATCAAAGCCCTTTGCCTCCTGGCGCAGTCGATTATAAGAATTACGGCAGTAGAGACGAAGGGTGGTCTAAGGAGCCAATTGGTGCGCTGCGTGGCCGTGCTGGCAGCGCAGAGAAGCCAGAGTCCTCGGACCAACGACGGGCACCGAGAGAGATATGGATCTGGACCAACAGGCCGACGTTGGCCGACGTCAGGTCGAAGGACTATAATGATCGAGGACGAGGACGTACTGTTGAAACACAGTCAGGCGGCATCGCTGTGTTGCGCGCTCTGTATCAGTGGAAAACGACCGCATCGTTGTCGTAGCTAGGACTGCTAGAGTTAGCAATTGTTTTAGTGAATACGCCCATTTCGAGACCCAGGAAACATCCTGTCCACTAGTTGTCCGAAAGCGCTAGAAGTGATGTCTGCTACTGTGTAGTCGATCAAAAAGGGCACACGGTTACATTAAGTATTCAGGGACTTTATCGATCATCTGGTTGATCAATTGATTTAGGACGATGGCAAGCCAAGACAAGACCAATGGACTGGACCGACATGCCGAAACAGATGAGATAGAACCCCTGCGAGCCGCTCAAGCTATCCTGTCCCATAATCTGCACGGTAGACTGAACGCGTACCATTTGTATCCCAACCAGGAGTAGACCATCGAATATTAGCGTTATATGAATGATCATGTTAGACATGCGGAATCCCTAGCATTTACACCTAAAAGCAAACATGCCAGACCCTGGACTCCTTCGTTACATCCTGGTGCTGTCCTGCATCAAGCAAACAGTGACACTTTTTAATGGACATGGATCTTATCCAACCCCTCTCGTCCTCAGACCCACGGATCTCACCCACCCGGCGCTCATACCACGGTAGTGACGTGCATCTTGTCAGTGAAGCCTGCGAATAGCGAATAGCAGCTGCAATTTGCCCACTTGACAGATGATTGGACTTGATTAGATTGTCTGTCATTGGATCATGGTCTTCCGAGGAAGAAAGAGGTCAGTACAGTCCAACAAACTACGTATCTACCTAGTATCTAAGCTTGACCATGCATCCATAGTCCGGATTAGCGCCTACAGCTAGTTAGACTATGTACTTATGGGAGGGGTGGGGGACGTCATTGAATGGTGAAGCATCAGCCGTAGCGTTGACCTCGTGAAGAGGACCGAGGATTTCCTTATCCACAGCATGATCGGGTTGCTATCCCCGCCAGACATGAGACGGGCTGCGGAGTGGCTCAGGCCCAGGGTACGGGGTGTATCATTGACCGCTGCTTTCTTTCCTGGCGTCATGGCATGATAACAACCATTCTGGCAATGACCAGATTACCATCTTGGTAGTTCCGATCTACGGATAGAGGGATTCAGGGCGAACGTCCAGTGTCCACATGAGGAGAACCCAAAGTTACGCAACTGGGGGACTTAGATAACGCCAAGTCAGAACCTAGGATACTTTGTGGCCGTGAGGCTTGCAGCCGCATGGCACTAGAAATGTGGGCGGCGCAGGGTGGGAGGGGAAGCCGTTAATCTGTCTCAGAGTCTCTATCATTAAGCTATCTAGTCCGTAATAGATATCCAACAAGGCTTGTCGGTCTGAATGCATTGTGAATTTAACCATTAATGACGACAACAGAATGACGGTGGTGAACCGAGTCTCGTATTCCTTCAGGACTTTTTGACATGGACTGTGATGCCTCGCGGTAGAAGCTTCAGGAAGGACCCGTGGACAGTGGACATTGCACAACAGACTGGTACGGAGCAGAATAGACACGGGAAAGAGTTAACTTCTCCAAAGAATTCAAATTAGAGAATCAACACTTGAGAGGATGAACATACGGATGCCCACCTGGCGGGTGGAGGAGCAAATCACCTCTACGCGAGCAACTGATCAGCAGTTCTTTATCATGATGTTCAGGATCGGCTGCCAGAGTACTGCTTACAGACCAACCCTTTTTGGACCTGGATTTTCCGATGGTCTTCCTTGATTGAGATGATGGCCAACTCCGCAGAGGTAACCAAGAAACATGCAGTCTACGGTCTCTGTAAAATGTCTGTGTCTTTCTGGCAGGACGATGAGATCTTTATCTGGACAATAATCATTCTCGCCCTGGTGCTAAAGGCAGGTAAAGATACATTCGGCACAAATAATCGTAATTATAGGAGGTTCCTAACAAGTAGCAAATGAGCAGCACCTTAATGTTTGTTGTGGGGTTTAGTAATAATACTACCACCAATCAAAAATTAAAGATAAATTGGGACCCTAGCACATACCCCTGTCCTGTAGTGGGGCTGCATAACAGTCACGCGGTAAACTACTCCTGATACCCTTACATGCTCCATACATACATATGGGTGAGGTACCTCTACCTAACGGAGCCATCTCGAGAATTTCAGCCGAGTTTTGCACTGGGAGACTGACTGACTTTGGACAGGACAATAATATGGATAAACTACAAGAGGAGAAGGTGAGGTATCTGCACTAGTGGTAGGGAAAAGTTCTTGACTTCTTTGGTAGTTACAAAATATTAATGATCACCATGGTGGAACATCATCCCTCAAACGCCAAATTTAGGCAAGTACGTAATGCTCATCTATCAGACGAATCCGACCTTCATGACCGTATCATTTTGTTGATCAGAGAACAGAATTGACAACTGGCAAGAATTATCTCCATAGGATCATCCAGTATCCAATATCCATAAACCCATCAATCCATCAATCCATAGTCGCACCTTCAGCAGGTCACAAGCCCTTCATGGACGGGGATAACGCATGCGACCTGGCGCTGATAGACAGATGCGGGGGGGTCGAGGAACGTATTCAACTGGTTCGTTGGATTTAAACACTCGGCCGGAGGAACAGAACCTACACTTTTGTAAGTCGCATACCAGGGCTACCGACTTAGATACCTAGGTTAATCATGTTACCATTTTACTTCAATTTCCATAGCGGTACTGTGTTTACAATCCATGATACATCTGTCGTGGTGGAATGGCGCGTTTCAATTGTCCACTCACTCCAGGGGGGGGACACCGCAATATGTGCCTACCTGAGGAGCCCAACTTGATACCAAAGGAATCTTCAACATGTCTGTGTTTCTGGTTTCCTCTAACATTTGATGTTGTTTGATGATTTGAGTGCGCAAGTCCCTCATTAATATTACCGTACGATTACCCACCCATAAAGCCAAGTCAAGTAGACCCATTGGGCTTTTTAACACTCAAGCAGCGGAAGGCATCCGGCTCCAATCATGCAGAGTAGCACAACGTCCCTCCGTCGAAACACCTTACTGGCACGAAACCTTAGCCCCGAAGGATGTGAACAAGAGCTGTCGAATTGGCCGTTGATCCATTTTGAACATTTCTGATTGGATTGGGTGATATTATTACCTATCTATCTTAGTTACTCCGTACTGCTCACAATAATCCTTTCAAGTTCTTCCCTCGACTTGATGACTCGAGTCCACCGTCCATGTCAACCCAGAATCCACGGTTGTGATTCGTGCTGTGGTCCTCTGAAGCGCTAAATCAAAAGGGATACATTCACGGACATGATTTACAGTACAATGACGTGATTGCCGTCATGGCGCCGATAGTTGCCCTAAAAAGCTGAGCAATGATGGTGGACTTTTCGCAGCGGCAACTTCAGCCCACCGCAAGGGGACTGTTCTTCGTAGAGTACACTTACCGTAGTAGTTAGACTAGTCAACTCCCGGCACATGGAAGAGTTGGAGAAAATTCTCTTTACCTTCCCAAAAAGAAATCCGTTCGTTTCGTCGGGGATTTAGTAACCCTGTTGCATTTTTCTTCTGTTCTCTATTCTCCATATTTGCTTTTTTTCCGACCATTTTATCCTCATTTGTTGATCAATGATGAGAAAGGCACAACGCACACGCTGCTTACTTCTCGGTACCACTGCGGTTGAGATGGTGTTCATGATCCTTTTTGCGCTGATGTCGCGGTAGCTAAGTTAGATGGCAATAAAACACGCTGGCGGTACGGAGCATTATTAGTAGTATGACAAAGTATGGAAAATTCTTACATGCTCCATCTGCACGTCCAATTCAAATGTCAGATTTCAAACTTCAATCAGCAACGCCTATATATATTGGTAGAGTCGTGATACAAGGCCGAATGATGATTATTTTGATCTTCGGATACCCTCAACTGCATACAGTAATAATTTCCGTCTGTCCGTTTTTATTTGCCATTCCTATACAGAGACACTTAGATTATACAGAGAGAATGACGATGATGGTTTGTGTTAAACTGTAGAGTGTAGAATTAGATGTAGATGGGCTGTCAAGTGGTTCGATCTGAGTGGAGCGAATGCTTCCGAGATGATCGGCGTGCTGTACATCCCTGCTGGTTTCACCATCCTAGTAAGGCGCAGCCATGGTTCCGTCAGAAAAATTGTCGAACCCACGGGAATGGATCATCCCTTTGGCTCTCAAACGGTTTGTGATTCGGTAGAATATCACTTTTCGTCCTATAACTCGGTAAACAAAAGGCCTCACCGTCTGATTTCTCCGCCGAATGAGCGGTCATCCATGACTGAACACGATGATGTACAGTCAGACTGCAGGATAGCACAGTTTCGACGTTGTGAGCCTGAGTAGGTTGGCTGGATTCACTTAGTCCTCATACTCATAGCTCGAATATTGATACTGTTCTTTGAATCGCTCCTTATCATAGAGCATACTTTTCGCAGACCAGGGTACATCTGACATTGACAATATCTTGCCGTGACTCGATCGTCATTTGCATGACCTTGTCCCTCGAGGGCCCCATTGGACTCATTAGTATTACAAAGGAATAAAGGAGTTAGTTTCACCCCACCGATGGCTGCGAAGACTAAGTAGCATTCCTGTTCTTCCCCAGTTTCTCATCTCGGCTACAGTGGCGATATGATTATGACCAGGTTACCCGAAGTCAAGAGTTGCTACAGATGATCTAATGGTCTACCTTTGTGTTTCTTATCTTCGAAGACTTTCGTCATATTGGCTGTCATTGAGATAATCCTTCAGAGTCGGTAATTCATGTTCCCTGGGATATGCGCTCATCCGGTTGATATACACCTTCATGGCATTTTAATTGCTTCATTTCTCCTGTGAAAGGAAACTTGCGTTGGATTGTGAGGATCATCCTCATTCCTCCGACAACCTCTTCGGTAGTGGTACAAGACTGCAAATTAGGGACCGAGTTGTAATCATTACGCCCCTTCTTTACCTCTAAGGGGTAGACTAGGTTAACGCTAACCGCTTTGGCACTAAGGGTAATCCTTGACCGAGCTGTTTTGCTGGGAAAACTCACT